GGCGGCGGCGGAGGAGGAGGAGGCGGAGCGGCCCCGGGCGCGCCCCCGCCGCCGCCCCCGGGCGCCACGGGCTACCAGCGCCGCGGCTCCGTGCAGCTCTGGCAGTTCCTCATGGGGCTGCTGGAGGACCCCCGCAACAGCGGCTGCATCGCGTGGACGGGCCGGGGCATGGAGTTCAAACTCGTCGAGCCGGAGGAGGTGAGTGGCGCAAAACATTAAAGTGTCGCCCTTCCAAAACAACGGCATTTTTTATAAGCTAATTCACTTCAAATAAAGATCCATTATAGTAGTTTACGTAACAAGGGCGCGAAACAGGTGATTTACGCACGAGCCGACAGAGCATAGCGAGGACAACAAAGGGACGAGTGCGGGAATCACCTGTTTTGCGTCCGTGTTGCGAATACTACTTTTTAACACGCCGTGAGCGCATCGCGAAAAGGAATATAAATTAAAAATCAAATAGCTAAAAATACCTTACTTGTACAAAAACAAATGGATTTCAGTCAGTGTGGTAACACTACTGTTTGAAAATAATAAACAAAGACGTCGTCAAGTCGAAAGACAATTGCGAATCGTTTCAGATGTTTTGCACACGCTTCACAATGTTTTGCACATTGTAAAAAAATTAGGTAAAAAAATAGCTGTTTCGCACACGGAAAACAAGCCCGAGAAACCGCGTTTCCCGCACGGCATGTTAAAATAGTAAATTCTTCAACGAGCGAATAATAGCCATTATGTGCGACCTGAAGACTATTACTTTCTCTGCGACCTTGAAATTTTCAGAATAGATTTTGAACAGATTTTTTGTTATTTACGTCGGCAAACATGCACTTAGCTTATCCTTAGATACCAACGATCCAACGCTTTAAGAGCGCGTCTATAGCAAGGGCCGTTAAAATGTTCGAGTTCATTAAAAATACTTTAGCGAATTCTCAAGTTTAGATTTTACCACTGTTCATACATATTTGGATAATTATGTCCCTTTTGTTCCACTTGATCCTTGTCCTTTTTGACCCATTGATTCCAGTTGTCCCATTTGTCCCTCTTTTCTCTTTGCCCTATTGGCCCATTTTGTCCTCTTGTCCCGTTTGTCACCTGTTCCACTCGTCCCTTGTTCTATTTTATTGCCCGTCCCATTTTGTCCCTCTGCCCCACGTGTCCCCCTTCCCTTTTATCTCACTCTCCTAATTGCCCCGGTGTTCCATTTTGTCCCATTGTCCCATTTTGCCCATCGTCCCATTTGCTCCTTAATCCATTTGCCCACTTGTCAGACTTTGCTTCATTGTCCCATTTGTCCCCTTATTCCAATTTTTCCCCATGTTCCACTTTGTCCCGTGTCTTGTTTTTTCGCCCCGTCCCATTTTGTTCACATGTCCCAAATTTTTTCCCTGTCCAATTACTCCCCCGATCCATTACTCCCCCGACCCATTTGTTTCACTGCCCCATTTTACCCCATTGTCCCATTGTCCCCATGAGAGAAATAGTGGATACCCGACGCGGATAGACGAAAGTGGCATCCACTGAAGATGGAAAAAGCCCCCGGAAGAAAGAACAAATGTACCCGGACTAATTTTGGGGACGGCTGCCCAGATTTCGATAGAACATTCACTGCGTAGTTGAGAATTATCAAAGATATAACTTAGACTGATTATTCTGCTCATTGATGGAATATCAAATTTTGGTTAAACCCTTTTTTGTTTTTACTGGAATGAAGGATGTAACCCGCAATGCTTTTCAGCAGGGCTGGGCTGTGATGAGGAGGGGTAGAGCCGAGCCGATTGGGGACGAGAGGGGGTACGGGCGTGACTGAGCAGGGAGGATGGCCGCAGGACTAAGCGGGGCGGGGCGGGCCGGGGGCATAACGGAATGAGTGAGACGGGGAGGTACGGACGTGCGAATCGTTACAGGTGTTTCGCAGATGCTTCGCGATGTTTCGCACACTATGAAAAAAATAGCTGTTTTGCACCCGGAAAACAAACACAAGAAACCGCGTTTTGAGCACGTCGTACAAAAATAAGTTTTCCTCTTCCTTGTAAAGATATTATTACCGTTTGTACATTCTGATCCACATCTGTAGTTACATGTAACAAACACTGGTTTAAATTAAGAGCACGATTCAGAGTAACATACATAAGGTAATACAAGATGCATTATTATCAATCTAACAGAAAACGTCACACCTCTTATGGAAGCGATGTGCGCTGCACCTACTCCAGCGCGACTACTTGTGGGTTGAAGTGCTGTGCGTCGTGTTGCAGGTGGCGAGGCGCTGGGGAGTGCAGAAGAACCGCCCTGCGATGAACTACGACAAACTGAGCCGATCGCTGCGATACTACTACGAAAAGGGCATCATGCAAAAAGTGGCAGGTGAGCTGAGGAACAGCTGTGAAATAGAATTTTAGGTTTGAAATAACTACGTATTGGGCAATCGAATTCAAAGGGAGATTCGAAATTCTAATAGTGCATCATCTTCGTCATTTGATACTTTTAAAATCAATTTCAGATTCATTTTTTAAAAACATTGTCCGTCGATAATCCGTTGCCGAAATATCAGAGATAATGTCCAAAACTGAAAGGGCCATGTCACAAAAATGTCCCCTGCATGCTAAAATATGCCTCTCCAAACGACTATATTACAAAGAATGCCCTCATAGTACTTAGTGTCAGAATAAAAAATGTCTTATAGAGCCAAATGTCAAAAATATGAATGGATTTTACATATTTTATCTGAATTGACTTCTTTCGGCACTCGATTGGTTGATTATTTCGTATTTCCGAGCCCCTCAACTGCTGTGGTTCAACTGCTATAGCCCGATAAAGGTAGTAACGTTTATCACGGGAGGTCCAGGTTGTTACTTCCCCGCTGACGCCGACCTACACGCCGGCTTGCGTGCTTTTCCCCGTTAAGTAATACCCCTCCAGCGGGGCACCGCCCCAGCCCAACCTCCCGACCGGTAGTAGTGTAGTGCATGGAAGGAGTAAGTAAGGGTAATGAAAGGGCAAAGAAGGGGATCGCTGCAGTCCGTTGCTCATTTGTTAGGGTACCGCTCCGGCATTCGCATGGTGTTGATTGGAGAAACCGCAGAAAACTACCGATCAGAACAGCCGGCCGGTAGAATTATCCTATTTTTCTCCTGTGTACATTGGATACTTGAACACATTGGTCAGATTGTGGTCGAACATTTCTTGACTGGACTTTCTCCCTTTGATCCTAATGCAACAAGGACCAACTATATGATATATATATATATATATATATATATATATATATGGACATTTTGGAGTGGATCCTTTGTGTACATGGACAATTTCTTTTGGACCAAACTAAGTATTTTACACATGGGTTTCGGAACGTCGTTGGTGGAAACATTTTAAATGGCACGGGTCATTCAGCGTTTGTTAAAGGTATAAAGAGGAATTTGACCAAAAACACGATGAAGATAAAAGCCATAGACACGAAATATTTTTTTTAAATTGTTTCAAGGATGCAATTTGAATACTACCTCAGATTTAAACATATTTCGTAATACAGTGAAAGCTATTAAAACGGCCACCTCGAACTGAGAATGACAACTCAGTCAGTAAGCACAGTACAAGAATAGCGAAATAACACCTTCAAAAATTTGCATTTTTCAGCCACAATCGAAACGGTTTTGTTGATTTTTAAATCTGCCCTGAGTTCATGGGTATTTAACGAAGTCGAAGACACCTCTCACGTGGCTGGAGCTTGCATACATTTCTTTAAATTTCCCCCCGAGCTTGAAATCAGTAATATAGATTAGTATCTTGCAGTGAGAGAAATACTACTGGACAAAACATCCAACACACATTTCCAAAACGTCGAACACACATTTCTCAAGAACAACAATAAAATACTTTCATATAATAGTGTAATAAATGAAAGAATCCTACCATTACCTCTCTCGACTTGAAGCGTCCAATACGGGATTTTCAATCTTATGTTTGTTGTAAGTTCCAGATGCGAATAAGTAATTAAATGTCAATTCTTTCACTATACACTCTTTCACTATTCTTTTACTCCCTTCGCAGAATGTGCATGTTCAACTACTTCGATGTCAGTGATTTGTCAGTTATAATGAAATAGATTTGAGTAAACACGAAAGGGCAATCATTCTCTCCATTCTTCGCATTGCCTGAGTTGAAAGCGCGATGTACGTTCTTATTATTCTAGACGTCCTTGCTTAGCCCATTATAAAATTCGCACCAGATTAATTTCATTAATAAAATGTCCACCAACTAGATCCTTTCAAGACACTTTGCGACGTGTATTACCACGCATTACCCGGGAGATATACCTGAGGGTGTAATCTGATGTCACTGCACTCCCTCTGTCCGCGAGATCTTAGGTTCAAGTCCCGACGGTGGCAGGACTTTCTAGCCTGACACCTAGGTCGAATTCAGTCGCTGTCTGGAGGAGAATTCTAGCGGCCGGCTGTTCTGATCGGTAGTGGTTTCTCAGACCAGCACCTGCCAATGACGGAGCAGTACCCTAACAAACGGGCCACGGTCCGTGCGTGATCTTTCCTTCCCATTCCTTGTCCTGTCCTACCCCTTACACACATGCATTACAGCACCTCACATGCGGGGAGGCCGGTCGGGAGCTTATGGCTTGTCCCGGCCGGGGCGGTGCCCCGCTGGTGGGGGATACCTGGTTGGGGAAAGCCCGCTAGTCGACGGCAGATCTGCGCCGGATGTCGCCATACAGCAAGGAAACACCACTGTCACCTCCCGAGAAAAAACATACCCTACACTTATGAGAGTAATAACCCTTAGTAGTTGACGCCGAATCACTAACCATCAATCAACCACGCTAGCCCTGAGTTGAAGGCGAGATGTACGCGCTCAATATTCTGGTCGTCCGTTACCAGACTCGAATTGCCCATTCCACTCGCCGCATGTGTATTGCCCGGCTGGGCGGGTGTTGCAGGCGAGAGGTACGTGTACAAGTTCGTGTGCGACCCGGACGCGCTGTTCAGCATGGCGTACGCGGCGGGCGGCGGCGACGGCAACCCGCACCACCAGGCGGCGGCGGCGGCGGCGGCCGCGGCGGCGGCGGCGGCGGCGCACGCGGCAGAGTGCTCGCCCGTGGCGCCCTCCTCGGCCGCGTCGGCCGCGCCCGCCTCCTACGGCGACGTGCTCGTCATGTACGGGGGCGCGGCGGCCGGCTACGGGCCCTTGCACCACCACTTCCAGCAGTACCTGGGGCGCGACGCGCCGGCGACCGCGCGCCTGCCCTGCCCGCAGCACTACGCGCCCGGGGCGGCGCACGCCCTGCCCGGCGAGCACGCCCTCGACGCCCACGGCTACGCTCGCGGGGGCGGCGGCGGGGTGGAGGACCTGTCCGTCGACGCCGCCGCCAAGATGGCGGAGCGCAAGCTCCGGGCCGCCGCCGACGCCGCCGACAGCGCCACCAAGCTGCCCCCACCGCCGCCGCCGCCCCCGCCCGTGCACGCCGACGCCGGCCTCGCCATGGACAACTGCGGCATGGCCTGCGACACCCTGGGCCCGCAGCTCCTCGGCGGCGACCACGGCGCCAAGTTCGGCTCCCCGCAGCCGCACTTCTGCCTCGGCATGGACAGCTGCATGTGCTAGGGCGGGCGGGAGGCGGTGCGCGCTCAGGGATAGGATCCGGGTTGGAGTCTTGCTAGGGTCAGGGATGAGCCCCTTGACGCTCCCCGACCTGTCACAAGGTATTTCACAAGGCCAGTTAACTTGAAAGCCGTGTATGGTGGTAGTGGAGAAGTAGAAATTGTAAACGAAAATCAATGCGAATCTTAATTGCGCAATAGTGCAACCTTTCAAAAATTGAAAATAAATAAAACTGAGGCTTCCAACGCATCTTCAGACAATACAATGCAACGTTTAAAATATTGTTCTTGATATGGGCCTAAATGTATTGGAAATTTACAAATACGAATCTGACATGTCAGACATATTACGCCGCTGTGAAATTTATAAATATATCCAACAATATCTGTTTTTGAACGAGTGTTTTTATAATAAATTGGAAAGCGAAGGAAAAGGTTTTTGCAATTTGCAATATATTAATTGTTAATTATTCGTGGAACTACCACCATAAACGATTTTAAGTATTGGGCTTTGTAATGATAAAGTACCGTGTCAAGTTGTTAATGCCGTCTCTTTCTCGGGCGGTCAGAGAGGTAGCAATGTGATTCTGGCCACATCTGCAAGTTTGTGATTCTGGCCAAAGTGTGGCGCCTTGCCTCCACAAATCCCCACGGCATCCTTCGGAGTCTCTTGTTGGACAGTCACCGTCGCTGCGGGGAGTCAAACACGTGGAGACAGCCCAAGACTTCCTACTTTTCCAAAGTTTGTCTGCGCCCGCGTTACAGCAAGAAAGGATCGATTAACGTTTGTTTATGTTCTGAGTGATGTATTACAACGCCATTCGCAAGGGTTTGGCAAGTTTATTTTCCAGTGTTGATACTACGTGACCTTAAGACTTTCCGTGTGATGAACAAACATTTAATGAAAATAAATAAATCATAAAAATAACCAATGGGCGTACACGTAATTAACCATAAGTTTGCATGAGAGTTTGCTAAAGCGATGAAATTTTAAAGACGGTATTATTAAACAGAATGTTAATGAAATTGTAGGTGTAGCGCGTGTCTTCATGGTAGTTTCGAGGATTTCGTTTACTCATTAGCCAGGAGGACAAAATTCGTGACAACTATTTCTTTCCCGATAACGCACGTCTAGCACGAATGTTTAAAACATGCAATTGAATGGATTACGATTCACGCTAACGATTAATTTCCAAGTTTTCGAAAGTTCGAATTTTTTAACATTATAGTGATAGTATTCATCTAATTAGAAGGAGTAAGAAGCATCAATCGTTCATTTCAATGGATATTTTCTTCTAATGACAATATTTAAATTGCATACTGTCTACACCTACATGCACGTATGTTCGGCATCTACAGTCTTTAATTATTGAATTTGGTAGTTGACCAACTTACAGCGTAAGATGTGCATTCAGATACGTGAAAAAAATTGCCACAATAACGAGACGGGAAATCAAAATTTTGCTTGGTGAGGCTGAGTTTCAGAGCAGTTTGTGATGGATTATGAAGGAGAATACTTCGAAGATCTGCATTTCTATTTGTACGCGCAGGCCTACGCATGTGATATATTATTTGAAAAATAAAAACACATTTGTGTCTGTTGATGCTTATTTTTTCTTTTTCCTTATGTTGTTCAAATTTCTCTAAAAATATCTTTGTTGATTAAATTGTATGCTTTCAAACGTTCGCATTTATGGTGATATTTCAATTATTTATTTCAAAATTTCTTGCCTGCTTCTCATTCTTGGGGAAAAAATAGATGTTGCGACTTTTGCGGAAACCCTTGTACGTACATTTTGTTGAATACTGGAAAACTGACTTACAGACTGTTGCGAATATAATAATTTCATGTAAAGATTTCGTAGCTTATCTTGAAGAAAAAAAAACGTAATTTGACTCCTAGGTGTGACGAACTTGTTATTAAATAACAATTAAATTGTAATGAACGGCACAGCATAAGTATGACGTAACTGTGTACCTGAGAATAGGTTTCTCTTTTTTTCGTTTGCTGATTTTCACTTTCATCGATACTTGGCGCCTATTAGAAATTGATTTGTGCGTGGCGTCCTTTATCAAAGAGAATGTACGAGTTCATTTAAAATAAAATAACTGATGGGAAACATGTTCAAAATATTGGCTCTAATGAGTTTGTACAATATATTGTTGTGTCATATAATTATGCCATTATGATGGTATTATACAATAATCTCATTGGATTGCGCCTTCTCAGGACCTAACAAAATTTCCTGTTTCGTTTGCTGGATTATTTGGACAGATATGTATGTTCCTTTATATGATTGTTTTTTATTACTGCCATCCGTAAGTGATATTATTGTGACCAGCTCTTATACAGAGAGGTCTTATTTGACTTAAGAAAAAGGCAGTGAAAATCTATAAGCCGAGGCATAATTTATGCGGTTTTTCATTTATGTCATTCGTAATGTTTGAGAAAACTGTTTACCGGAACTCGTGTTTTCACGACCCGTGAGTTTATGTATCATTGTTATTGTATTCGTTTGTTGTTCTTGATTGTTGTATATTATGTTTTGATTGCCAGATAAACTAGTTGATTCGACAATTCGTTTTAGTTTCATTTGTGTTTGTACCAATGCCCACCGTCGTATGCCCTGATGCATGTGGGAGGGCTGAAAGACATTTCAAGGTAAATAATATAATTAAAGACTGAACACACATCTTTTTATGTCGCCATGTTGTAATGTGCTCGAAAAGGATTCAGAAGAAAGGATCGGGCGAAAACCCTGCAACTATGAAACCTGGATCCTTCATTGCATATGAAAATTAACAATACAATCGCAATTCAGTCAAACCACAAATGGAAGACCCATATAAATGAGTATAAAATTAAGTTCATTATAAGTAGAGGCATGAAATTTTCGTTTTAACGATAAACACGAAAGAAACTAATTTGATTTTGAGTTTTGTTGACGAATTGAGTTACTGGTACTCAGAATTCACTTTTTTGCGAATTTTCACCACAAAGGGCTTTTAACGAAGTTGGTGTATTTTCACGATAAACGCGTAATTCTTAACCTAGTAAAGGTTACGTCGTACTTACAAACGTCACATGTGCATAAATGTGCCACAGGAAAAGTTTCGTGGGTGAATACGATGCCAACTTCAACTGAAATTCTTGTTTCTGGCTATTCGTGGAATTGTAAGTAATGTCATAGTGTGATATCCTTCTGAGAGTTGATCCTGCCCAGATCGTGTACTGGAATGGAAAAAGGCGGTTACCACAGGGCTCTGTGGGCTATACGTGGGTTTTTTATAACCTGACACTTGCCGTAAATCAGCTGTTACGATGTCATCCAATCGGGAGCTTAAACGTCATCACAGAGATATCGTTCAAGCTCCCAGTTCAAACCCAAGTATATGCGACGGCCGAATCGCCTTGGCATCGCATACTCAGTCGTTAGTTGTGAAAATGGGTCGGTCGACGACTGTTACCCTTTACAGAAGAGTTAAAGAATTTGCCAAACAAGCTTTATACGATTCACGTAAGTTCGTGCATGGCTTCGAAAATGAGTTCCAGGTATGAGACCGGAGATGCTATTGTGACCTTTATCACAATATACACTATGAGATCAAAAGTATCCGGACACGTCCAAAACGGTGTTATGGTGTGGTCGTGTTTTTTATGGAGGGGGCTTGCACCCCTTGTTGTTTTGTGTGGCACTATCACGGTACAGGCCTGCGTTGATGTTTTAAATACCTTCTTGGTTCCCACTGTTGAAGAGCAATTCGGGGATGGCGATTGCATCATTCAACACGATCGAGCACCAGTTTATACTGCACGGCCTGTGGCGGAGTAGTTACACGACAATAACATCTCTGTAATTGACTGACCTACACTAAGTCCTGACTCGAACATCTTTGGAATGTTTTGGAACGCCGACTTCGAGCCAGACCTCGCCGACCTATATCGATACCTCTTTTCAGTGCAGCATTCCGTGAAGAATGGGCTGCCATTCCCCAAGAAACCTTTCAGCACCTGATTGAAAGTATGCCTGTGAGAGTAGAAGCTATCAAGGCTAAGGGTTGGCCAACACACTATTGAATTCCAGCATTACCGATGGAGGGCACCACGAACTGGTAAGTCATTTTCAGCCGTGCCCGGATACTTTTGATCACATAGTGTACGTGTACTGCGCCTATTCTATGTTATCGTTCACAAAGTAAATGATGTAAGAGTAATTATTCATTTATAATAGTACAAATATATTTCAAAATAAAATAATGAAACGCTTATTTTCATTTATTTATACTTTATATGTCTGCCCTTTTTTAAACTAAAAATATTATTAAATTTTAAATTCTCGATTTTTCTTAATACCTACTTTTAAAAAATACGGCAATATTAACGCGAAATTGATTACTTTTTCGCGGCATAACGCGAAAAAAAAAATTCACACGAAATTGAAAACGAATTAACGCGAAAAAACCATGCCTCTAATTATACGCATTTCGAATTCTTTCAAATTCAACCATACAGCTCGATGCATGATTTTTGCGAATGTGTATTAGCGTTCGTGATATGGTATAATATTCCGAAGAAGTACATCCTACGGTACCCATATTTTTAGAAAGCATAAAAATGTATTGTAAATGTAGCTTCATTATTGGCACGTTTTGAATAGCTCTCCTTTTACATTCTCGTCTCCTGCTTAAGCAGTTTAGATAAAGTACTGTACTGTACTGCTCAACTACATCAATCAGGAAAAATTAATTTGGTGAAAAATCTGTACACGGTGTATGAGCTAGTATTGTTTACGGACAGACATTTCGAAGCGATAAATAAAATACAATACTTTTTTTTAGGTATTGGGAATCACCGAAACGTTTATTTAAAAAAATATTTTCCCATTATTCGTACGTCAAAATATCGAAATTGACGTTTTGCAGCATTACATAACTTTCTCGACATTACGTATGGGAGAAATTAAAAATAATTTGGAGGTGGATTTAAGAAATGCCAGCTCAATAGAAGGGCTACTTACGACTCTTGCGAGCACGAACAAACTTTCCTACAAGAATAGGTGTAAGCGGTGCATCACGCCGGGGTCCCCGAAGTCAGGGGCCTCGCGATTCGCAATAAAGGTGGGGATTCAATTTCAAAAATATTTTAACAGTATTTTATGGTAACATAGTTTGTAATAAATTACGCATCCCCAGAATATTGAATCAAAGTTAATACTTCTTGTATTGGATGTGGAAGAATTATATTTTAAAAAATGCATTGGGCCTTCTGGTGGGATATGTTGAGTGGAGGGGTTATTCATAGCGCGTCTTCCGTGTCGCCTGGACGTTTCGTTCGGGCTTGGGGACGGTTATTTTGACAGGTTCGCATTTTGAGACATTTTGACAGCTGAGCGTAGCGAATGACCGCTTTTCCCTGCGAAATGTACACTAATTTCCTGTCTAACCGAGCACCAGCTGATAATGCATCAGAAGTGACAATTCAGTGAGTGCAGTTGGAGGCTAGGGTTTAGTTTTCAGGAGTAATTTAGTTTGTTTCGATATATATATATATATATATATATATATCATATATTATATATTTATATATATATATATATATATATATATTAATGGGAGACTATTAATATGATGGAGAAAATCAAAGTGAAACTATGCGCGTCGAAGGTAAACGGACAACCCACAGGCTAATATCAGAGTTCGCGCTATTCGCGTTCAACACGCTTTCAACAGAATTTGCAATTCGCAACACGTCGATTTTTAAATCAAAGAATTATCCGTAAAAGTAATACTTATTAAAACGATAGTTTTGAAGTATGCTTTTCTTGCAGTATAGTTATTTCAATTCATTGGTTTTGTGCGAACATACTCCATTGGCGGATTGATATACATTATAAGAAGTACCACTGCCGTAGCACAAGGTAAACAACGTTTGTGAAATGAATGCGAATCATTTCTACATGTCATTCACCGATCACGTTCCTCAATAAGCATTGGCAAAAAGGTGTATCAAGGTACGTAATCGCTCACATCACTGAAGAAAGTATGTTTGTTTACGCGCTTGGTACAGTAAGCTAAGCAACTTGTCTGACGCCTACTGTGCACTACGAGTATATTGCACTTGTTCAACAGGTTGCACTGTTCCCGTATGTCACTGTTTTTACTTTTTTTTTTGCGTTAAATAAATAAATACCATACGACAGTGAAAAATATGAGACATCTTCGTTGTGTTTTTAGTTTTACGATACACTCGTTCTGCGTCTGATAGATTATGGACAAAACTTTTACGAATTTTTTTTTTTTTAGTAGCCCCGCTACGGGAATCTTGAAGGCGTTATGAATGGCGGATTTTTCGTGATATGTTCTAGTTATTGGGATTTATAAGAATCTTACATTGCATTTAAATAAATTAAAATTTTTCATTTACATTTTTCGGTGTGCTCAATTTCTTACGTGAGTCTTATACACTTCCATCCTTGAACACAGAATAAAAAGAATAATGTTAAAACTCCTCATTTACATTTTTGTTACAATACTTGTAGGAAACCTACGATCTAAAAGCTACGTCCCTCGACACGTGAGGGCGCATTTGGGTGCAAGGTCTCTTGTTCGTTCCTTACGTAACTTATTTCATAATAAGTATCATGCTGGCCAACTATCACCCAATATTTGAAATCGCAAATTACGTACATCGCTACTATTTTATTTTACATATTTGATTAAGCTGTAATGGAACATTAAGTTTCATAATCGTTTTTTTCATCGTAATCCGGCGGAACAGGCTGCATCTTATTCACGTAGGTTGGTAAGTCTTTGCTCTCGGTTGACCGTCAAGTTCAGCTGCCGTCAGTTGTCTTCTACTTGGTGGACAGGACCGTGTGGGATTGTGTTGTTGCTGTTAGCCGGTTACATCTAGTTTGTTATTGGAAGAGAATAAAGTGAAAAGTCCCTCTACAAATATGGTAAGTATAATTTGTATAAAACAACGTTTCTGAGTTAATGGAGTTTGTCCGCGTGGTATATGAACATAATTTGCTACTAATTGTAAATGACCTTCAAGAACCTTGAAGTTGGTATCAGGACACGAAGATTCGAACGATCGAATTTTGAAATGATAGGTTCTGTCGAAATATCGATTTGCGAAGCATGCTATCAATTTATTCATATTTGTCATTTCTTAATGGATGAGAAACCCTTTCCAATGGAAATTGTTTAATATGCGTGGTGTGAATATAAACGTCAAAAAATTGCTCAATTTAACAATTCCGAGAATCGGATCATTCATACAAAAAAAAGTTCTGTTAACAATACGTACTTCAAAAAAATAAACCGAAGGATACATACATGTGTGTAGATTTTTTCAAAATTACGGTTCACGATATTTATTTTGTATGATCTAAATTTTTGTTATTTTAAGACTTGTAACATCATGTACCAAATAAATAGATAAAAACTATATTAGCTTTTTTAACATACCTATAAAATTAAAAAAATGTGAAAGTTTAGTCCATTTTCAGAAAATAAGGATCACAACAGACAGGTTTTAGAATAAAATGTGCTCTAGTAGTAGCCTGCATATGACAATGAATGCTTTGCAAATCAAAGATATCAAGCTATGTGGAGAACACTAGGAAGCAACGTGTTCATATTTGTATAAATTTTAAATTTACATTTCATTTTTGCTCTTTATTCTGATTCATTTCATCTTTGCTCTTATTTCTGCCCTTTAGCCTGAGCCAATTCGTGTTGTTATTACTGGAGCAGCTGGTCAAATAGCATATTCTCTCATTTACCAAATTGGAAATGGCGACGTATTTGGAAAAGATCAACCTCTCATTCTATCACTCTTGGATATCCCACCTATGATGGACGTACTTAATGGAGTAGTGATGGAAATTTATGATTGTGCATTACCATTAGTGCGTGAAGTAATTCCAACTGCTGATCCAGCTGTAGCTTTTAAGGATGTTGAAGCTGCTTTTCTTGTTGGGGCAATGCCTCGTAAACAAGGCATGGAACGTAAAGACCTGCTATCTGCAAATGTCAAAATTTTCAAGGCACAAGTATGTATATAAGGATGTAGAGTTGTGAGATATCATTTCCAGATGTAAAAAGTCTTGATTAAAATTTTGTTTTTCAGGGAGAAGCTCTTGATAAGTTTGCCAAGAAAACTGTACAAGTTCTGGTGGTAGGAAATCCTGCTAATACAAATGCTCTCATTTGCTCCAAGTATGCTCCCAGCATCCCAAGAGAGAATTTTTCTGCCATGACTAGACTAGACCAGAACAGGGCACAATCTCAAATTGCTGTTCGGTTGAATGTACCAGTTGATAAAGTGAAGAATGTTATAATTTGGGGTAATCATTCTTCAACTCAGTTTCCTGATGCAAGACATGCAATTGTCGAGAGCGGAGGTACTGTCAGTGCTGAATCGGCTATTAAAGACAATACATGGCTAACTACGGAGTTTGTGAAAGTAAGTACTTGTATCCTTGCATTTTTAACATAATTTTTTTAATCTACAAGCAAGGGTAACCAAAAATAAAAATTTGTTGTAGACGGTACAAACTCGCGGAGCAGCAGTTATAGCTGCTCGTAAAATGTCATCTGCTATGTCTGCTGCCAAAGCTGCTGGGGACCATATGAGAGATATTTGGTTGGGGACCCCTTCGGGACAGCATGTATCAATGGGAGTGATTTCTGACGGTTCTTATGGAGCCCCCAAGGATGTTATATTCTCATTTCCTGTTACTATTCAAAACAGAAAGTGGACCATTGTTCAGGTAACTAAAAGCTGAAAATGTAATTATTACTTAAAAACTGGTGCAGCAGTGAAGTGACACTTCTCAAAAATAAAAATTTAGTAGTAAAATACTTTATAGCTCAAGGCAGTTGAGTAAAATAGTCTGTTTTATTCTGATTGAAGCCACAGATTCTATTTTCCTGCAAAATAACCATTTGAGTTGTCTTGTGCACCCATAAGGTCAAATATAACCTAATCTAACTTTGCATTTCAATTGCATAGGATCTGCCAATTAATGATTTTGCACGCAACATGTTGGATGCCACTGGGAAGGAGCTGGAAGAGGAGCGCCAGGAAGCACTGGCTGTGTGTGAGAATTGACGGTCAGCGCCCCCGACTGTGGTGCAACAGAGCAAGATTTAGCCATGCTACCTGCACAATAGACCCAGTAGGACTTAAGTGAATTGTTCTGCAAGATCTTGATTGTTTGAATGAATGTCGAAGTGATAAGTGTGCGTGTTATCGAATTGTAGAAGCTTGGAGGCAGGCCTGCACATCTTGTTTTAAAAATGTATATTCTTTATTTTCCTGGAATGTTTATTTCTATTGAAATGTTATACCAACCAGGACGAAGGAAATAACAGTTACAGTGCCAGAGAAAGCATTGTTGGTTGCTGGCAGACTGTTCTAGTTTCACAAATCAAAACAGCATTCTCATACAAGATCTGGAACAACTGGTTTTACACAATTTGTACTCGTGACCTTTAGGGTGTAGCTGATAGTTTCAGTAGTTTTTCATATTCATTTAAGTGGAACATGCTGAACATTCCAGCTCCTGGAGCCGAGACAATGTCTAACACATATACCTACTGCAGGTACTGTTCTGTTAAATATCACAGTTGAGGGCATTGGAGACATGAAAGACAATGCATAGAATGGTGAGGTGATTTTTATTAAAAAGGCACTCGGGGTATTAATGTGTATCAATAGTATATTTACATCTGGTTCCAATACTCTTACTTGGTGCGTGTAACTGTTGTAAATAAATGTACAGGTGACAGCAAAATAAATATTTCTGGAACATAATGGTTTCTTCCTGGTTAGTAATTGTAACTTTGCTAAAATTACTGTTTCTCACACCTGGAATGATCTGCATTTTCAACTAGGATTACATTTAGATGCATCTCCATCATGAGCCACTTTAACAGTTTTCACTTCTTCAAGAATCTTTTTCTCCAATTGAATAACTTCAGAAGGCTTCTGATACTGAAAGAAAAAAAAGTGATTTTATACTGCAAATGGTTTAAGAAAATAAATTCATACTGCAGAAAGTTTACACACAGTAATTATCAAAGTATTGTGTTGGTGAGTAAACTTGATTCTTCCTTGTTCTGGTAGCAAACCGGCACGTTCCAAATCTGGTACAGACAATTTTTTGAAGTATTTTTTATTAGAGGTACGAACGGTAATACATCTGTTTTCAGGTTCTGCAGTCACAGTGTAAACATCTAACGAGTAGGGAAGATTTCTAATCCTCCATTCTAGATTTGATTTAGTAATTCTTCTCGCAACGAAAGGCTGTAAATCCAAAAAAGGCCATTTTATAATTTCAGGGTTAAAAAAATTGCAAGCAATTACATAAGATAACTGAGGTACTAACTGCAGAATTACTCTCTTTTATGCCAAGAGATTCAAAGTTGGAACTATTTGGTTCTGGATCTCCAATTTCCACTTCCCAAATACCATCCGCTCCCAACGTGCCTCTTTTCCTCCAAGCTCTTCTCACAAGTACATCCGTGTCCATGCTGTATTCTTCGACCATTTCTTCGCCCTCCCGGAAGCGATAATGAACTTTACGTTTACCTGCAATGAGATGATACATTTCAGGTTTCTTTTCACCATTTCCAGAGGGAGAGATTTCAAGAATGGTAAAAATGAGTGTGTCAACCACAATAATTTTGAATAGCTTACAGTACTCTAATTAATTGGTAATCATTTATTTATGTAATTCTGATCACACCTTTCTGTAGCTTTCATATTTACAGCAAGTACATGCATACAATCTCAATCACCAAAGAAGTTTGTCCTGAATTCATAATTTTTATTTAATTTTGAAGAGAGATTCATTGATTTCTATTAACAAAACTTGCATTGCAATTTATCTTAATTTTCCCCCGTCAATCCCTGGTTGCACTGGGGTCAACTATGCATCCTAGTCATCAAACATACTCAACATATTTATACAGAAATTACTATAACAAATGTCACAAATCTTCACATTCAATTCTTAAATTCCCCCTACAAAGTTGACACTACCATAATGAAAAGGAAATTACAGTTCCAGGAAGACACAAATCTGACTCATATGAGAAAACGCATTTATGGAAGTACTGTCGCCAATAAAATAAAAAAAAAGACAATTTACCATCTTGAATCAAGCCTATTTTTTCAGATTTCTTGATCTTCTCAAGCCAGGTCTGAGCCATGCTTATTGAACAAACAAGTCGTATCCACGGTCAGCAGTGACAAAACAAATCACATGGCATTGTTCATATCACAAGTGAAAGCGGGTGCTGTCAAGAAAATCTTCCTTGAAGAACCAATCTGAATACTGGAAACAATGTTCACTATTCGAATAAATGTCATCTATATGTAATAACTTGGATTGACAAACTTCGAACTCCAATCACTTTCAATATTCCACACCGTCTCTTCAAAATAGTAATGCCAAAGAATCCATACATAAAAAAAAAATTACCTCATGAAGAAATAGATCCGAATTCCTCACTCATTCAAATTTGAGTTAACTGCATGTTGCACTGCAATTGTAAGTCACCGATAAACAGGGTTTAGTGTTGTTTTTTTCGCCGGAATTTCAATTTCAGTGTAAATAAGTCACTTTTTGGCGCGTTAGGTTTTCAGTATTGCATTTTATTCTGCCTGTTCATAGAATGTGCACGAAACGCACTGATATCGATGTGTGCATATTCTGTGTTTGATAGAAGTTCCGCCATTTTAACTTCGCGGATCTCGATCTCGTTCTTAGCTTATGATATAATGGGATATATGTGAGCATTGATCAGGCGAGCATTCTGTTGATTCTGTTGTGTGCATCCGTTAAATGCTATGGAATAGTGATTTTCGTAGTTGTACTGTGATAATTTAAGTGAAAACTATTGAACGAAGAGCAATTTGTGGCATTGAACAATAATTCGTTGACAATGGGGTCTCCCAAGAAGCATAAACATGAATCCAAAAAGAAGAAGCACAGGAGTAGATCCCGTTCTCGGGAGCGTTCAAAAGAAAGACATAGACATCACAAACGACATCACCATAAAGAAAAGAAAAGAGAAAAGAAAGAAAAGAATGGGGAATTGGTTTCGAAGTACGAAGATTATGATTCAGAAGGTAAGCATTTGTATTTTTAAGGAATAAAAACCATTCTATATAAGAAATTGGCGAAGATTTGACGTTTCTTATAGTACTCGACGGTGTTCAGTTGCTGAAGCAGGTCAATGTTTTTTCCTGAGGCCAGGCACTGGATTAAAGAGGATACATAAATTTGGGGCTGAGAACTACATATAACTTTTTATTTTTCAGGTTGCATTTACAGGGCTGTACAGTTAATCGCACACTGTATTATGTTTGTCGTATTCTTTATGATGACAATGGTTCACACATTTGTAGCTGAAGTGCGTTTTTTGAATGGTTTCATGTATATCAGTCAACACACACAGAAATTTGAATATTTTAGTTACAGACTAAAGTGATGCTGCATTTCTCATTTGATATACATTTTTGTATGTCTTAATTTCTTCACATCTTCGGACAACTTTGAAACTTATGACTAATTAATGAAATTAATAATGTTAACGATGTGTTGCATTATTTTTGAGAGTTTAACAAGAATTGTCACAGGAAGCTGTAATAATGTAAATATTACTAAAAAAGTGCATATAAAAGTTCAGCGATTCAAATGGATTATCAAATAAGTCAAATGAGAAATATGAGCACAAAGTATCTAACAACATGAAATGTAAAAATGTTGAATAGTATTAATAACTGTGTGTGATGATTGATGGTTAATTAAGAATTTTGTAATTTTGCCTGCATTTTTGTCCTATTTCAGAAAAGTGCACCAGAAGATGAGTCTTCTGGCCTTCCCATGTGGATGCCTAAGACACTGAAGAAAAGGTACTGTATATTTGTTGTATGTAGATAATTTGCTTCTTTGGAACCATTCTTTTGTGTTTTTAGTGTTCTAAATGTTCCCAGTGTAAAGTCACGTTATATTGTTTCTATGAAAAGATAAATCTTAGGTTGAATTATATATGAATTTGTTTGTATTTTGACGGAGATTGATGAAATGTACTTTTTCACAAGAAGCATAAATATGAAAAAGGAACTTATTCCTTGTAAAATGTAACCCATTAATTTCTGAAAAATGAAAGGATTTCATGGATAGTGCACATATCTTGAAGTTGAAAATGTGATAATTGCTGAACTTTGACAGTGAATTTCATTCTATTCTTCTAACAATTAGGACTTTTTTATTTTCAATTTCTTAGATTAAAATTTTTTGCATAAATTTTTGTGAGGGGGGAAAAAATTAAGAGGGGTTGCTAATTCTGTACTTCATGAAAGCATAATATGAAGATGATTTATTTTTATCTGTATTATTATTATTATTATTATTATTATTATTATTATTATTATTATTATTATTATTATGTAGTATTCAAGTAATGTCATCTGTTCAGTTATCATCTCCAGTTGTTAACATGACAATCATTACAAATGTGTCATTCAATGTGTCTTGATCTCTTGGTGGGGGACAGATCATATTTGTGCAGATTGGATCCTTTGAGAAGATTCTTAGTTGTTTCTCTAATAATTTTTGTTTTTTAGACTACTAAAAAATGTTTTGTATGAATTAGTCACCTATAGAGGTGATCAATTCACTCGTTCAATTTCTCTCAAGACAAATTGACTTGTGCAATTCTGTGCGCATTTTTTGGGATCTTCTGGAAGAAATTTAGGAAAACTTGTGCTTTCAATGTTTTGAAGGCACTTAGTTGAACATTAGTGAACAAATCATTTGCCTTGATTGATCATATTGACGTTAATTAAGTTTAATATTTCAGTGAATTATAAAAATGTGATGCGGATGTCAGGGAACTCCTAAAACTCATTGTGAAGAAGTTTAAAAACGCCTACAGAGGTTAACACATTAAATTGTTCTTGAGGGGATAAGTGAATTGACTTCAACTGGATCGTTCTAGAATTGTTCGGGAAGAATCGGAATGACTAGTGACATGAAGGCTTAGGTGCCTACAGTGCTGAAACATGGATACTGCCTTTTTGGCTGATTCATTGCATTGACAGTAGTTTCAAGTTATCAACAATAGTTAAATGTACTTGTATTAAAAACAAAATTATAAAAAAATACTTTTTTATGACAAGGTGTCAGACAACTTCATTGTTTTGCACTTATTTTACATTTGATAAATATTTAATGACAGGAATGAAAAATATCAATAACATCAGAAATTCATTGTAGATCTTAAATTTGCATTTCCATGAAGTGACGCGCAGATTGCTGAATGGGATTAATTCTTCATTCAATCTAATTCAGTGTATTAGTATGTGTTGCTTCTTATTATAAGTATTTAAGGTTCTTCAATGGTCTTCATTAGTGTGTGTTTGTATATCTACACATCTGTATTTATACACTGTTTTGTTCCTGGTAATATTTCTGCTTATTTATTTACATACCATTGATCTTTGTCATCATCTGGTCACAAGTAGGTTCTGTTGCTTCCATATGCTCATGCAATTTCAATCAGTGTGTATGCGCAAAGTGGGGTATCTATTACTCCTTGGTACAAAACTCGGTCGTGACCTTTTTCGTTTTTCACATATCACATGATGACAGCTGCAGCACTTGTTGCACATTTTGCATTTACACTGAAAATTGAAATCTTGTGATATTTTCTGTTACTGCAAGTCTGTGTTGAAAACAGTGAACAGCAAATCACATCATCAGATATCTGAGTTCATAGTTGGCTAGTTTCGAGTCAATCTTGTCATTGTGTTGTAGAATAGCAATTTATAGAATAGAATAGAATACCAATTTCTTTCATTGCTTCTTTGTTAGCATCAAGAGCAGCTGCAGTTGCAATTCTTCAATATAGAAGGGCTCTTTCACAAGTTCGTATACTAGTCTAAAGTGTTTATTTTGATAGACTCATCACCTTCTTGTTGTTCGAATTTACTTCTTCTATTGTCAGCAGATTTCTCTTCGCCAGGTGTGCCCAGTCCATATGTAATTGTGACCATCTTATGACAGCTGAAGGAGAATGGCTTGTTTGAATTAACCGAGTGATTAGAATGGTGTATGATGCTTCTGGTCCTTCTGATTTTCATACAACCAAGGCTTCAGTATTAAATTTCAGAATGAAGCTGTCAATTGTTAGGGAGTTTTTTGATTGTTTTTCAAAGGGTTTTATATGCTGGTATTGTAAATTCTAATACCAGCATATGAAGGGGCAAAAGAGCAATGGAGCTGTTTCAAAAACAGTGGATAGTTACATATCTGCAATTATATGTATATATGTAAATAATGGCTTTTCATTTGCAAAAAATATCACTTGATCTTTTATTTGGTTTTCTCATTAATTTATCTCAATGTGTTTGTCACCTCGAGTTTGAAACATTTGTGCTCCTAGTTTCAAGTTATTATTATATGAAGTAGATAACTGAAATGTTAATATTTTTTTTAACTTTTATGAGCCAGTAAAATATAATCAAGATGTTGAGAAAATAATTTGCAGTTGTGGAATTAATCAATGAAATTATATTTCTTGTGGATTTTTTCAGTACTTGGGTTTACAAGAGTTGCTTTCTCATTTTAAATTGTAATGAAAATCTTCCATTACCTTTGTCAGGTGTCATTAACACGAGAAGAGGTTTAATCAAATCTGTGAAGGCAATTTATTTAGACTGCTTGTTTCCCATCTGTTGCAAGACATTTCTGTTTCTGATGATGCGCAATTTAATTCTAATAGAGAAAAATTCACCTACATTTGCTATTATTTTTTTTTTAAGAGGACATTCTTTCTTATGGTTTTAAACTATCAGTTACTTTTAATGGTCCTCAAATCTGAAATCAGGTGACATTTTTTTAGTTTGTCAAAAGAGGGAAGGGCATAAAATGGCCCTGAGCATTGTTGTTCGTTTCAGTTCAAAGTTACCATTTCATCACATAGATCTTAATTACCATAGTTATCCAAGTAAAATTTTAGTTCCGAGAAACTAACTCACTGGGTTAATGAGCCATTCCTACAATTCATACTCAGGCAAGTATGGCTGCATCTTTAAGGCAAGCATATCACCATTATTAAAATCTTTCTTAAGGCTAAGTGTTAGTTTCATCTTTCAAGAATTATCAGATATTTCTTTAAAACGTGTTTTAACAGCACATATTTTCTCTCTTCATTTCTAACTTTTCCCATTTTTCAAATCAGATTGGTGCCATAATTTTAAGCATCCATGGGGGGGAAATTAAAAATTAAGAGTATTTTATGTGAAAATGTTTTTATAAATTGCATTCACTTCAAGCTGAAATTACACGCAAAATACTTATTTAAAAAAAATTGATCTTTTAGTTCATTTCATTTAGACAAAAATATTTATTTTCAGTATTGCACTTTTGCAGTATATACACTTTTTGCAATTTTCGAAAACACAGTGATTCACTGACAAGAGGCCTTTTTTCTCCCTGTCCTTTGGTACTTATGAGTTAAAAATAAAAAAGGGATAATTTGGAGCCATTTTATTTTTTAGAAAATAATTGTTTAAAAATTGCCTAAATTTCACGAAAACTACCCGTATTTTTGGAAAACGGTGTGTTTGTTTGTTTTTCTTTTTAAAAAAATCTCTCAATGTTTTAGTTGTAAGAAGACAGAAAAAATGTTGATCTTTTTGCAATTTTGAAAAAGCAGGGTTTCAATGAAAATAACAGTGCCATTTATTTAAGTTTCCTTTAGAATATCAGAAGACGAAGTTCAATAAAAAAAATTAGACCTGTTTTTGAGAAAATTTGTAATGTGGGTTTTGTGCGAAGTACCCCTAAAAATCAAAATATTTGTTTGAACCTAATAATTTCTATAAATCAATCACAGAATATCAATTTTGCAGAAAAACATGTGAATGGTTTAGAGACAAGCATTGACTTCAAGCAAACTGGTGATGTTTTGCCATCAATCAATTTTTCTTTATCAAGATCCACAAAATGTGAAATGCTTGAAACACGTGTTTCAAGTAATTTACTAAATAGAGAAACAAGATTTACCCAGTTTATCATTACCAGGTCATGACTAAGAGTTTTTCTGTCAAAAAACCTGTTTTCCATCACACAATTTCAATACTTTCTATTGTTAGAAATAAAGGTGAGAAAGGAAAATTGAAACTGTTGCCAAGGCATTCTGGCATTTTCTTATAGCCAGGCCCGCCCATATACACTTTGAATTTATTCTTATGTATCTTGATGTAGGTAGCATTCATGCT